CAAAATCCAGAACAGGAAGAACAGCAGCAAGAGCAGGCACAGAGCGTTGTAGCTGGAAAGAAACGAAAACGAGAGAAGAGTTTGAGCGGCAGATGAGAGAACGTCGTGAAAAAGATCTTGACAATCTAGTAAAATCACGAGTAGGTTTCGCCCATTGCTAGCCCATGTCGCATTTCTCATAATAACGCGTCATAAATATGCTTACCGCTGTTATCTTGTTCGACCACATAGGGAGACATTCATATAAATATCGATGCCTCACAAGTCTTCTCGCCAAATAGTCGCTCCTATCGTCGCAATCAAAGATTACCAGCATTTCCATCGAGAGGTAGCAACAATATGTTTGACAATTTTGAACTCAAACAGCTATTCCTTAAACACTCGTTTGAGGTAAATAAAATTGGGGGACAGTGTTACGGTTGACGCGTACGTGAAATAGTCAGTAGTGTGTCTAATTTAACTGTTTTTTTTGGGGGGGAGGAGTAGGTTCCGGTTGACCCGCAGACACAAGTCTCAATAATTGGTCAGATGGTCACAAGAAATGGAATCGGAAGTGGTAATATTGTTGGATCACTACGACATACATTTTCGCCTACTTTCTGGGCTGAGGTGAGGAGATTCGAACGAGGAGTGTAGTAATCGGTTATAAAATTTCTCAGCATATTCTGTTGACATATTTATTTATGATAACATCCCCGTTTGTTAACAGTCATTTGTAATAAAATACTTTTTTCATGTGACTGTTTTAGATCGGGACATCACTCATTCAACCACGCATGCTAACAACTAAAGCGTTTTATAACATTGATCATGATAGGTAAGTTGTGATACATTACGAGTATCGTTTTATTATTTACTTGAAAGCAATTTAGATGGCGGCATATAATATAAGGATGTTCACAATGTTATAGAATTATGCGGTCACTGCTCCATCTATGAAATTTCTAATATCCAAGGCTCTTACTAACGTATGCATTCCATACTATATATTCAACGTTTTCAAACTTCCATCACGCGCTACCCAAATCAAAAACAACAACAAAAACGCATCTAGCTTCTTAAGTTTTACAACACACTCTTATGCTGTGAGTTCACCTCCAATGATTGCCGTCACTGCAGGAAGGAAAATAGGCGTTCGGACGACTGGTTATTTGACGTACAAGACTGGTGCATGGAGTTTGGGGCCTTGGGGGAGATATGATGATTCAATAATTGCACGGAGAGAAAAGTCGGCTGTGGCTATTGGACTGAGTCGCGGGAGCGAGAAGAGTGCACTCGGGTTGGAATTGCAGGTGAGTAACTATCATGACTTTGATACATGCCACTATTCGTAAACTGTTACGTATGAGCATAAACCCACCATTCCCATTCATCATATTGTCACTGTTTTTATCCATATTAACTTTTTCAATAACTTTGGATAGACAGGAATTGTACAATCCCACATCTCGGCAAACTATACACGTAGTATTTTTTCCGACTACCACCTTCGTACGTCAATAATATTATCCACAGTAGCCGGTCTTACTGCCACGATAGCCGGAGATCGAAAGATAACGGCGAACACGAAGGCGGGGATATCCATTGAATTTGGCTATCCTAATGGGATTATGTATAGACTCAGGTAAGAAAGGCAAGACGAATGCGGAGGGGGGGGTTATAATGAAAGAGTGTTAGGACAGGTATTTTCAAAAGAACGAACAGACGAGTTTTGGAGAAGCCATATCTGGTTTCTCTATTATGCCGTGTTTATTCAACAGTCGGTCTGATTATTAATGGACTGATCAACGTTCTAAAGACGTTTTATCGATACATGGTATTACAATGTATTAATGTCGAAACGATTATGGGATAAGACTGATAGACTTTTTTAGATAATGATGACTCATTCTTTATATCCTTAAAAGATGTCTTTTGTTTTCATAGTCATTTTAATGACATTTTATTTCATTCAAAAACAGTGTTTTTAATTCCCGTTGATTATTAACATCAGGGTGTCTCGCCTAGGACAGAGAGTAACCATACCATTCATCATATCACCTGACCTTGACCTTAAGCTGGTGTTTTGGTTGACTGCTATTCCACTGGCGACAACCATTGTATTAGATCAAGTTATACTAAAACCACGAAGGAAGAAAAAACGGGCCGAGTAAGTTTTTGAAGATACACGCGTGTTCTTTTGACCCTTCTGCTTTATATTGTTGTACATCCAGGAATTACTGCTCAACTCTATTATAATTTCCAACTTTCTAGTAAACTCGCAGCAATAAGAGAATATCACGCAGATCTGATATCTACTCGTAAACGCGAAGCAGAGGAATCGCAGCGCCTGCTTCGACCAACGGTCGAGCGTAAAATAGCTTCTGAACGTGAAAAGGATGGTTTAATAATTGTTGAAGCTTTATATGGAAATCTAAGAATATTAAATGATGGCATCACGAAGGAAAATGAGGGGGAGGTCTTCGATGTTACGGTGGCTGTTCAAGCTTTAGTTCATGATTCACAGTTGGTCATTCCCGGTGGACGGTCGAAGGTAAGGGAAGGTCAAACAGGAATGAGATGCGCATCTCATATTTGCAGAAAGTGGTTACGAATTACTAATGTCCTTGTTTTTGTTCTCTTAGTCGAGTATTATGGGATTTTACGATCCGTGTCTTGGAGAGAAGAAACAGTTGAGGATAAAATATTTGTTCAAGCGTAAAGAGCATGAAGTAATAATGGATGATACGGCGCCCGTTGCATGTCCATTGCGCTGTAAGTAACATGATGCAAGGCCTTGCCTTCATTGTAATATAAATAATACTAACCTATCCGCGCTAATTTTCATTATCCAGCCCACACAATCTCTGATACCTGATAACTTGTCTTCTTTACTCTCACTTACCGTGTAATTTTTTACAACGGACAAAGCAATAAAACCTCGTCCGAATTTATTCATTCTAGATATCAATAAATAATATTCGAATAGCATTGAGAAACATGCGAAGAGTTGGCTTACAGAATAATAAACACATGTCTCATTCGGGTATAACAAATAGACATAAAAAATTACAACGATTATAAATAAAATCTACTAAAATAGGAAGAGAAAACAAAAACAAATTAGGAACATCCCATAAAGCAATGTTTGATGAAAAGAGTTAATTATTCCGCCTGGGAGATGATTCAAATGAGCAGCCGTTGCATTTTGGATGGAACAGTATATATCCCAAATATATGCGAAGGACAATGAACCTTTAATACGAAATCTATAGATTGATAGCTAAGATCAAATGGTTGATACTTTTCGACTATCTAATCATTGTAATATAAATTAAGACTAATAATATAAAAGGATACCAACTGAAATAAAAAAACCCACGTAACGCCTATCCGGTTTATTCTACTTCTAATCTACTTGTTAAACGGAAATCCTTTCTTCTTAGCTTTTTCGGGCGTGATGGGTCTTCCACTTTCTAGTCTTCTCTTCTTCTCTTCCAATTCCATTCTCTGTCTTTCCAAAGCATCCTTCATCTCCTTGTGTCTAGTATATAATTCTTCTTCACTTTGCTTCAATTTCGACTCTTTCTCTGCGACTTTCTGTTGGAATACTGCCTTCATTTCATTTTCCATCTTTTGTAATTTCACTTCGTGAAGTTGGCGCTCTTCTTCCATCTTGGCAAGTGGGTTAACTTCCTTGAAGACTGTTGGATCTTGTTGAACACCCATGGTTTCTAATTTCTCGGAGCGATAGTTTTCGTAGAGAACGTCACTTGTGTATTCCTTTAGTTCTTCCATATGGGTGCTATTAGGAGGGAAAAACAGTTGTTCAATGTTAAAATGCGAAATCGAAATTTGGAATGATTATCATACTGATTTTCCGAGTAACTTACCGAATAAGCATCTGCCTTAATTTGACAAAATCACAATGATCCGGATTATCAACTTCAATCACTCCCCATGGATATTTCCTTCCTCTGACCTTCTTGCCATCACTTGTTTCTACTTCTCGGTCACTTCCAACAATAGCAAACGGAATCTTGTTAATAATGTCCCTGTTCTCTGCTATCGTCTCTGGGTCATCATATTCATATTGCGGTGCCTGGTAGATCTGAATGTTGTGGGATTTGATGTCATCCAGAATTCTCTGTTTGAATTGCTTGATTTCGTCTTCAGTCAGAGTATCACTCTTGGCGATTACGGGAATAAGATTAACTTTTGTGTGAAGACGGCGCATGAATTCAACGTCGAGAGGTTTAAGAGAGTGACCAGTCGGTGCAATAAAGTAGATGCAAGCGTGGACGCGATTGTCAACCATTTTACGACGGTTGACGCGGTTCTCCTGTTCGAGGTATGCATCGAAGCGTTCTTCAATGTTGTCAAGGATCGGTTTCCAGCTTTGGGTTTAAAGAATAAAAGAGGAAAATAGAGAAAAGGCGTTGGTAAGAGAGCGGATTTCAAGAGAAAATCTAGTCGACTATAAGTTTTTTTTCGCTTACCTCTCCTCGTTATTAACAAAATCACCAAATCCGGGTGTGTCAACGACAGTGAGTCTTAGTTTGACTCCATTCTCTTCGATTTCTGTTGAATTGAAAGTGTAAAAAGAGTTAGTCGTATGCACACAATATTATTATTATATCGATCGACTATTGACGCATGCCAACTTGTGCTATTTTTAATATCTCAATACGCTGTTTCGATTTTCTTCCACAAGTACACACTCTCGGTTATACATACCAGCGCTCAAACTTTGGATCTCAACAGTTTTTGGCGTCTCATCTGTTGGCTCAACATCACCCTTTCCGGGATAGAGTGTTGTTCCGAAAAGAGTATTGACCAATGTGGATTTTCCAAGACCAGACTCACCGACAATCATGACAGTGAAATGAAAGCCTTTCTTGACTGATTTGCGGTGCACTTGGTTTGGCAGATTTGCAAAGCCAACATAGCCTTGAAGAGCTTTTTTGACTACGCTGTTCAAGCCAGCCTGAGAAAAGGATTTAACGGTGAGTATGATGAAAAGGTTATGTGAGGTAAAGGCAATTCATCTTTAGACGTTGGGAATATTAGAGCAATTGTCCGAATTTCTCTTTTATATCTAACGTCTATTCATACTTTACGACACTTACTTTCATGCCAGAGATTAAAGAGTCTATTATAAGTTCCGAAGAAATAAAATAGAGAAAAGACAAAAATTGTCAAAAATAGGTAATTGACGCAGGAGATTCGATAATTGCAATAGCGGTGGGTAAAAATGACAAATAGCATAAATGCGCACAATCTATTTGAATTCCCGACGAGTATATTACAAGGAATTGTCAAGATGACTCTCCTTGGAGTAAAATAGTAAGGGCTATATACACATTCGCTCAACTCTATTACATGCTACTACTTTTCGGTGAAAGCCATCATCTTACGATGGCAAACTATTTCTTTGACTATTGTTATGATCACGTCTTTGCAGACACGGATTCGCCATCTATGTATAATTCCCTTGTACTCTTTCGCTAGCACTCTCACCCCCGCCATCTCGATACTGGCACGTCCCACTCACCAGACATTATAGAGCAAGCTCAATGGTATAATGGGAATCTCTTGTATAAGTGTAAGGAGGTTGCAATAATAGACTGTGCACTCGAGTATTTCCAAGCTAACGCTTCTATTCAATGGAAAAGAACGTATGGAGTTGGTGGATAAAGACACACGATGATGGAAACTTTTGTGTTAATGAGAAACAATTTTTTTCACTCAAAGACTAAAAAAGGTGTCAGAAAGACGGTGGAGAATTGGAGTAGTTGATAATAAAACTTGAATGGGCGGTTGATTTGTATGACAGATGCACGTTGAGTATTGAGCAACGGGTGGAAGCAGTTGAGCGTTACACGAATAGAAACAAATAAGGGAGGATAATGTGAGGGATGGATATGGGATGGGTGATATATAATAATAATATTGTATGTTGATATGTTTAATAAATTATAACGCTGACAATCATTTCCCACCAATCAAAATCGGGCCAATCAAAACATCCTCACTTTTTGCATTCCTTTAATGGGTCACCAAAACGTTTCTTTGTAATACAGAATACACTTCTTTGGGTATGACAAAGACACAAGTCTGGTGGACGATTGGCAGAATGTACGAATAGAATTTATATGAAATGCTTACAGTTTGCAACTAATAAAACTGACTGCTCTACAGCAATATTATTGGAGGACGAATTAATTTCATCTATGCGTAATTGGTGTTAAAAAGGAGGGACGAGATACATTGCACGGTGGGCCGTTCAGACTAGCATGCAGACAGCAGACTTGTGGTTTATTTGATTCTGTCGTACAGTGAAAAAAAAAGGCAATGGAGAAGCGGGAGAAAAAAAAATATAATTATTTGCTTGATACAGAATAAGGGTCCACTCTAAATGCATGGGGCCCTTTTCCACGAGCATTTATGGCAGACACATGTTTACCAATGGATATAATATCTTCCATTAATATGTGATCGGCTGGGATTTGATATTAAGCCTTTTTCTACGAATTTATGTCTCGAGCGCCCCGCTGTGATGGTCTCGAGATCAGCAAACACAGGATTTTCGGTGACAATGGCGACTTTTTTAAGTCAAGAAGATGTTCATTGTAAATTGTTATGGAAACTGCTTTTACTAGTTGTAATCCCAAAAAGTGGTCTGCTTTTATGAATTCCCCAAATTTATAAATTTCCCCAATTCTAATCTACGTCACAACCCCACAATGCAGATGTCACGCGTTTGTCTTGCATGTGATGTTAACCAAATAAATCACTTATTATAGTAATAGCAATATATCGATATGCTGCTAATATTAATAGTGTCCGCTTTTGATTAACTTATTAGTATATTTACCTGGTATGAGATGTATTTCTTCAATCTTTTCTACTAGTCTTAATTTGTGCACTTCCTGCTTCTTTCATTAATTTTTGGTATGCAACAGGATTTTTAAATTTTTGTTGTTCGACTTACCAAATAAGCTAATTAAAGTTTGCCACAAAGTCTTACCAACACAGACGACTAAGGCCTATAATAATTTGTTGCACCGACACTTGTAAAATCAATTCACGAGCATGAACCCAAAAAGTTCTTTTGTAAAATTGTAGCTTAACCAACTTTGTCCTTCTCCGTTACCCTGTATTTTCAAACGGCTGGTTCCCAAAAAAGACGGGCGAGGATTAGGCGATTTTCTGATTTCAATTTCTTTATCGAGGGAGAGCGTGTGTTTGGTGTTCCGAGCGATTGGGATGTTGGTCAGCTAGGACGTGAGCGTTCCAAAGACGCTGGTTTAAAGAATGATGTTGTATATTCGCCGAGAAGAGTTGCGGATTGCTCAAAGTGAAATGCGCTTCCACTCGAATATCTTTCTATCCAACGTCTTAGAACTACGTTAGAAAATAAGATTAAAATTTAATGCATACACAGAGCTTACGGTTTCAATGCAGACGCTAAAATCGCGCAGTAAAGTTGGTCACAGTTGCCTGATGCAATACCCAATTAATGTAGTAGAAGATAAATAAGAACGCATCGATTTAGAAAACATTATTAGATTCCAAGGCTAATAACGAATATGAGAAAAGCTTTCTTATCTTATTTCCAATTTTGTGCTTAATAATAATTTTTTACATGTAGATTATGCATACAGGTTAGTGCAATTTAAGCAAATAGATTAGTGTATTATGATGACCATAATAATGTTTTTTGGCAGTTTCATCGACTTACCTGCTACTATTAAGAATTGAAATAATTCATATTAGAGGTTTATTCCTCGTCCTTACAGTTTTGAATTACAAATGGTGTGACATATCCAAATTTTGATAGGAAATGTCAGTATTCTTATTACTTCTAAATTCGATTTACTAGCTCGCATTGTTTTTTCCCTAGATAGAATATTGTCCATAACTTTATAATTTTAGCAAGGTTTGATTTTCCCATTCTTCCTTATTACTCTCTCATGAACCACATCATTATAACAGTAAACAGAAAAATGTCACATGCGGTTATCAGTTATATAAAAAATGGCGCAAATAATCATGAAAATGAGCCGGGAATATACCGTAATAAAAGATACGAGACATCATCTCTATGATTGATTCTTGTGCTTATATTTTGATATCGTTGAATCAAAATGAGCAATTCCTATTACAAGTCTCGACATTCAATACTGTAATTTAAAGAGGGGTAATCTTCCGAGCTAGCACTAGCCCTAAATGTCTTATTAATACAGTCAACCTCCTTAATGCTTTCAAAACAATGCAACTACTATATAGAGTTTTTTTCCTACAAGTTCATTGGCAATTTGATTCTAACATTGTAATCACGTGGATCGGCACGCGAATCAACAATCAAAAAATCACTGACGCGCGTCTCTCAATTGACTGTATTTATTTATTTTGTTATAATAATAACTACCTAACTACCTAAAGCCACAATCTTTATTTTCAACCATGAATGGGAGCGACCAAAACAGAAGACCCACCGAATTCATCTGGTCAAAATCACCGCAAGAGATACCGCCACAATACCAAGGATTTCACTCAGACGAACGAGACCCAAGATTTGAGTTTAACGCTCCAAAGTGGTATGACTTTTCTAAAGAACCCGTAATTCCTGGATCCGAAAATTGGTTTCGTAAGTTGGTGGTATACTCGCAAAGGGCTGGCTTTTAGAGTGGGTTTGAGAGTGTAAAAAAAGAAAGATTGAGAAGGACGCAAATCGTTAAAGCGTTATGACGAAAATAGATCCTTCTTTGACCACGCTTCCATGTTGACTTTTATGATCTCACTTTGCAATATGTTCTAATCGCCCTGTTTTTGCTGAAAAGGATCGAGTGGCGGGTTTTCCCCATCAAGTGGCTTCTCTCCGTCACCGGTTCGACTTGCTCAAAATATACACAGTCCGATTTCGCCCGAATACAGTAATCCATCCGTAAAACATCCGACTCCAGCTCCCCGTCATGTGCACAACCCTATATCGCCTGGCGACAGTTTTCCGTCAGCGATCAACCCACCATCACCTTCTTTACCCAAAGATCATAAATCAACCCGAGTTCCATTCGTAGAAAATCCAGCTCCTTCCATGAAATTACGTAATGGTAAAATCCTTGCGACTCAAAATGCACAAAAAAAGCGTTCGCCTGTCAACCGAGTTCGTGATTATAGTACACGGTCTACCAATATGAAGGTTCAACGGAGCAGGCAGAATGCAGTTGCGAAAATTACAAAAGGGAGTAAAGCATCTACAACTACAGCACCTGTGAAACAGGCGTCATCCACAAATAGAGTAGTCAAACCAGCGCCGGTATCCCGACCACTTCGATTAAACAATCAAAAAAAAAAAGCTGCGGTAGCGAAACTCACCAAAGAGAATAAAAATGAAAGGTTGCGAAATGGCTTAGCCGTCATTAAGGCGTCCAAGGAAGGATTGGCACCATTAAAGGAGGAAGGATCAAAAGCCAATAACATCCCTGCCGCTCCTATTACAAAAGGGAGTAAAGCATCTACAACTACAGCACCTGTGAAACAGGCGTCATTTACAAAGAGAGTAGTCAAACCAGCGCCGGTATCCCGACCACTTCAATTGAACAATCAAAAAAAAAATGCGAAAAATGATGCAGTAGCAAAACTCACTAAAGAGAATAAGGATGGAAGGTTGCGAAATGGCTTAGCCGTCATTAAGGCGTCCAAGGAAGCATTGGTACCATTAAAGGAAGAAGGATCAAAAGCCAATAACATCCCTGCCGCTCCTATCCCTCCTTCTCGACCGCGTCCACGTCCTCAAAATTCGCGACCGCCACCCTCTCGCCCTCCCATAATTGCACGTGGTAGAAAACAGGTAACAATTCCAAAACCATTCAAGTTCCACTCATCCAACCGCCCACGTCAAGCATTGCCTGAGAAATCTCCATTTGTTCCACTTGCACTACGCGTGCAGCAGTTTTTGAAGACGCCGAAAAAGGATAGAGTGGTTAGAAGAAACGCACGTGGAAGAAAATAGATAGTTGTTTAGATCTGAGCCGGCTTTAATTAAAATGCAATTACCGTAACAACATAAGCACACCTGAACCCAAGTACAAACAGTAGCACTACGCACAACCTCTCAAAACTATTTCTGTATAGCGTATATATGTACCTTTCAATAAATAAACATTACCGTCAGAATGATCTAGTTAAGATTCGTATTTTTATCTTTTATTAAAAGTAAGCGAGCGATTACTTATTCTTATGATAATTTAATTTATTCAATTAAAATAAACGATTACGAAAGGCTGTTGTAGATTAACCCACATAAGCCGGAATTGTCGAGTGAGTTCTGACAGTTATTTCCCTTTTGACTTTGCCGCAGTAAAGTTACCCATTTGTTACATGAACATCTACCGGTGCCCAGGTTCATTTCCAAAAATGTTTAGACTGTATTAATTCAGACTAACTACATCTTGCTCGTAGAACACAAGCGCGAGCTTTGAAGAGAAAGGCTATTTATTGGCAGATAGTTAAGAGACACAGTTATGAAGTTGCAACACACCCTGGTAGTGAATTATTATGTGACTAAGGTGTTGGAAGTAGAATAGAACTTTTAAAATTACTTTACATTTATTCTGTTTTACGAGACAGATTTTCAGGGATCACCAGAGCAGATTCATAACCTTTAAGCTAACTTCATAACCCATAAAGGTAGCAGCATTCGCCGGAATGGCACGTAGCATGGCAGCTCCCCACCCCTTAAACAATGCTTTAGGACCATCTGTTGCCATAGTTTTTCGAAACACATCCCATATACCAGAATATGTTCCGGGTGGCGCAGACTGAAGGCGAGATTTCAGCACGTCAGGTGGTATTGCTATCGTCCACATTGCAACACCAGCCATGCCTGAAAACATCAAACATTATTGTAGCAAATAGGGAGGGACAACAATATATGCATCTATAACATCGACTGTTTGACTATACTTACCACCAGCGAATAGTACTGACGCAACTTTCAGGTCTTCCGGCTTACTACCTTTCGGAGTTAACAAACGCTTCGTCCATTCATACGCGAAGAAATAGGCTGCACTTCCTGGCGCGTCTCTTAATAATGTCGCACCGGTGCCGCGGAAAAGACTTCTGATACCACCTTCTCGGTAAATGCCCTTGATCGCATCAACAGGACCTTTATAAGCAGTGCTACCCTCTTGTCCCTGCACCTGCAACACCACTTTAACGCGTTCCATAGGTGCCATCAATAAAGTCGTTGGGGCTGCCGAGAATGCGCCCGCTAATGAGATCTCGGCAAGCGACAGTTCGGGAGATGTGCGATTCGGAGTGAATTTGTAGACTAGGTTTTTTCCAAGATTATAACCCTGCATAGAAGAATGTAAATTACAAGAGCGTAAGCGACAGGCTCAGAAATAAGAAGAGCACATAGCATGACGAATAAATAAAAGTCAGGCATACCCAGAAGCTAACAGCGAATACTGGTGTTACTCCAACCAGAGGAGGCACCATTCCTCGATACAATCTTTGATAATAATTGAGTCACGCGTTAAGGATACATATAGGTTGTAAAGAATTCAATTCAATTCAATCATATTCTGAATTACCCACGAAAGCCATCGGCCCGAACGGTCTTCCGTGCGCAGTCGAGAACTCCATTATAGACACCTGGCTTTGCAGTTTGAAGGCGTACCTAAACGAATAAAGTATGTAGCATTTGGTCTCAATTCGACTATAAACATGTTTATAAGGTATAGCCTTGGCTTCCGGCCATAGCCTTTAGTACGGTTATTGTTAGTAAAAGCCTAAACACGGTCATTCGACATTGTACCTTTATTAGATCGAACGGATGACCTATAAAAGGATAATCCAAGGGGATGCTGTTAGAATATTTGTATCGCTATGAGTTTCCAACGAATAGAATGCGACTTTTGTCTGAATGTCCATCGCTTTGACTCAAAATATTCGTGCTCCAAGTGTACGTATCGTCTTTAGCAAATACTGCACTTGTTTCTATTTTAGTTTCCATACTCTTTGTCCCTTTCACAGCCTTTTTATATAGATGCCATACCGACGAGTACACAGGAAATGCCACCAAAACCACCAGCAATAAAGGACTTGAGACCAGAAGTCGCTTGCTTTTTTCCTTTTAGCTCTTCTAAGCTAGTCTCTTCTGGTGTCGACATTATCGTCAAAAGCCAAAAAAAGCCGTTGACGTTAATTGATAATAATTTATATGTATTTATGTTAAGGTCGATCCCCAGTGATAATCTATTATTGTGACACGCAGGACAAAGCGCTAATAGTGGCTTCGTGCGTGACGTTGTCCACAGAAGAGGAGAAGAGTGGATATTTGACGCGTTTGCGTAGACAGTCGTCCCCCTCTACAGTCACACCATCGGTTCTCCTGAAACCAATTCATTGCAATATTATTGTAAATGGCTTTGTTATGACTTTGATATTCGTTTTACTCACATGGGAACAACATACTTTCTCCTAAATAAGAAGTTCAGTAAGAATTACACACCCGTCCCAACAAGTCATAACTTTTTCTAGGAATGAAAATTTAACATCACGGTTCCTGATCACATTCTCCTTTCGAGATTACCGTCTATTCTTCTTGGATATGATCTTGCCATATAGTAGAAGATTATACTTATTATTGAAATAAGCATACAAATCTCGTGCCGTAAAGCATCAGTGATTTGCGTTCTCTTTATTTTTATCATGTGATGTGACTATGGGGAGGTAAGTAATTTTACTATCGATCGCTATAAAAATCGGTCGGTTCTGTAGGTAAAAGTTTCTGAAATCTGGAAAGATACATAAGTGCCTGCAAATCGCCATCATCAAGGACCTGGACTGGTGATATTTATCGTTATATCAGAGAATTCTTTTCACAGGTAAGAACTTGTTCCGTAATTTTCTTCGGCCGATATTCGATAATACCAAAATGTCTATCGTTAGAGGGCTTAATATACTATTTACAGTATCTACGTTCTGCCACTAAAATATTTGTGGCTTAATTATATCATTGTATGTTACACGAACCAAAACCAACAATAAATTATGGAGTGAACTGACCTAGTCATTCTCAACGAGAATGGCTGGTGAAGTTCATTCTACCAGACTTTTTCGTATCGAATCAGATCCCACTGTATTGCCTTCAGAATTATTCTGTCAGACGATATGGCACAAGCCCGAGTTTTACAACAATATTACCGAATTATTACCCGACAGTCCTGTGTGCGAAGTTTCTCTGACAGACTGCGCCAGGTTCTGGGAGGCTAAGAGTATGTTGTTTGCTTTGGTTTACGAAATGATCTTGTCCCTTATAACGATAACTCTTTAATTCATCGTTTTGCAGTTTTGATCCGTCATCTAATTGAAGGCACAACTTCTGGCATATCAAAGGACTCTACGGAAAAACGCTTCAGGGTCATTCATGGACTATTGAGTGGGCAGAGAGTAGTAGACAGCAGGCCCTGTCAACTTAGAGTCAACAGTCAATACGAGGTACTCTTTCTAGATGTGACAGCTGTCCTGCTTTCGTATTGGGTGTCTGATTTTAATTTCTTTGTGTAGCTCGTGTTTGCTGTTGAAGGACGAGAAGATTCTAGTGAATCGAGCCATGATGGACATCTGGTAAGTTGTCACGAAATTAATGAATATTACTCCAATAGTATAACACTCATTTCGTATCCATAGGCTGCTGTCGTCGACATATGGAAGCTTCGATTACATCCAGCGAACGATCGATCGTTGCCAATTATGTGGAAGGGGTTGCTGAATAACGCGATTAATCAGATTAATTTTGTTGAGGTATATTATTATGTTTCATGTTCAACGAAAGTGAAGACGGATATTCTGAATGTTTGGTTTTGTATCAGGAATCGAATTCAAAACTCATGGAACAGCTAAAGGAGAATGACGTGCGTGTTAGCGAAATGACAAATGCGTTGACTAGAATGACTGCGGAGGAACGCGAGAAGGAATTGTTCGATCAGGTATTGAACGCTGGTTTGATAATGTTTCTTATTAATCATACAATTTTGTTAAAGTCAACGCGTTTTGTAGTTCTCTGTTGTATTAAACGCAAAGAAAAAGAAAATTAGGAGGTTGCTGAGGTTGCTGAAAAATAAAGGTAAAAATGATTGTAATCGATCCCTGAAAAAAAGTGATATTCGACAGTTTGTTCAACTGTCAGTTTATCTCAAAGAGCTTTCTTAAAAATTGGAGGCCAAGTTTTTAGATTGAAGCGTATATCTGACAAATTTTAAAAGGCGATAAGCATTCACATATAGTTAACAAATTCTTGTGACTCACTTAGGCATGGCAACAGACGATATAGCAGAGGAAGTACCGATGGTAGTCGACGAAATACCCGAAAAGAGCAAGACTACGAAAAGAAAAACGGCACCCAAACGTGCTACTGCTAGTAGACGCGGGCGTAATAGGACAGATAGTGATATGACAATTATCGGCGAACCACTCGTTGATATAGTAGAAACAAATTCTGCGGATCCTCCGTCGACAATGGATGAATCAGAGATATAACCGTCAATTGTAAAATAATCCACCACTCCGAATATATCTTGAGCCAAAAAGAAGATACTTATTAAAGCATTTGTAATAGGATACCTGAAATTCCACTGAGCAATGCCAGCTACGACATTCTCTTTTTGTTTTGATGTAAGATGGTGACGCGGCACTTACGCGACAAGAGAAAAGACCAAGTTGACTGAAAATAAGGGTTCACAGCGGTAATCCGTCCATCTGTCCATTCGATAATGTACCCTTCTGAATTGTCAACAGGCCAAATTATCTCTTTCAACTCTTGATACAGGTCTTTGAGGTTTTGGGCCCTGGGATGTGCTATTATTCTGTTTGAGGGTAATTTTGTAAGTTTAGATAGTCTCCAGGCGAAGGGCAGTCGCAGTGATCAAACTTGTATCTCAATATATTTATAATGACTTGAATGCGGAAGCAATGGTTTAATAATAAATGTTACAACTCGACATTATGTTAATATGCAATCAAATCTCTTCGCCAGTTTACACTTGATTTTTGTCTAAGATTGTCAATGATTGGACAAACGGAGAGAATCAAGCAATGCCCGGAGGAAGATTCCCCGAGCGCCATCTTTGAAGGGTGTACGAACGCCGGGGTTAATGAACAGAACTATCCGCTTGGGTTTCGCGGAGTTGTTTTTGCGTCTTGTAAACCATGAAAATTTCCATTCATTAGTTTTGCGAATATATGTGATCTCGCAATCGGACGTTATTCTGTGAGGAACAGGCCACTTTTTTTTTTTTCGAAATGAAGCGGCCACAAATCGCGTTTGTGATAACAGCTTATGACGGTATGCGAGATGGGTGATATAAAAACGGTTCCACGTGGATATTATTATCGTTTGTCGTAAATCTTTTCGGGATCGAAATTTTTAGTGAAAATATCCTTCGGCTTTGAGAACATCCCATTTGACTGACGAACGATAAATATTCCATAAAAGGATTTGCACTAGTAGAACGACCTAAACTGGTATGTAAGTGATAGGAGAAAGATATTTTCTTTGGAATATGGTATGTCATGGATACGTTGAGGTATTGGGGCAAGTGTAAGGCATGTTCGTTTGATTTGATCCGCCGCAAGTTGCAAGTTTGCTGGGTTGCGTAGATTAGTAGTAAGACTTATTTAAATAGTGTCATTATTTCTGACTACCCATTCTGCAGATTGTGGGTATAATAAACGCGAGCAATAAGAACAGGGAACGCATGGAAACTGAGCGTAATCTTCTTTATAAAGTAAGCGTAAAACTTTTTGTAGTTCATCGGAAGGACGCCAGTATGTGATGTTTGAAGAATCATAAGTTTGGGAAAGTGGTATTTCGGATGGTGGAGTGGAAGGTAAAAAAAGACAGGAATTGATGGTCATTAATAGATCACGAATTAGTAACATTGTAGAAAGCCACTTCGTTTGTTTCAAGGTAAATATATCGAGTACTTGAGACATTAGTTTTTTATCAATTTAAATTTTGGTTTATATGGGGATGCAAAATGAGAAGGTCTATTGTTGACTCAGATTAAGATTAAAATGATAATAATAATAATAATAATAATAATAAGCAAGTCACATGGTAAAACCTTCCTCCGCAGTCAAGCGGAATGGTAGTATACGACGTCGCGCATTTTTCGAGTGTTGTTGTTATAAAATATTAATATTGTTCAGGTTATTAGAACAAATTCCCACTCCACGGAATAATAATCAAATAAACGATTCCCTTTGAAACTTTACTTTCTATCATTGTTGAAATATTAATTATTTGACCGGACACACTAATAAACGGCGCGCTCAAGCTATAAACGGCTCATAAATTGTCCGTTGATCTATATTAGTTATTTAGAGACTAGTGACGGAACCCGACTAGTCGAAATACCAAATCGAAGAAAGCGGTTTAATTTAAACTAGATTTATTTCACCTTCGATTCTGCGGTAGAATAATTGTTGTTGTTATTCTAACGTGGGTACCCTTATTTGGAATCAAGAGTGATTGAAGGAGTTAGGAAGGTAATTATAATAAATAGTGGCCATCGCATTGTCAACTTACTTTATGGACTGAAGCATTGTCTTGCTGAAATTCATCCGGAAGAAAGTAACGGTTAAAATTAAACATTTTATTGAAAAGAAGGGAAGAAGTAGAGGAATAGCGTTTTGCGGAAGGTTCTAGCTTCAGACCCTGGGAATTTAAATGCTAAAGTCATTAGACCCAGCGATTAGAATTGAACAACTACCGTAATAGTAATAAGGGCGGTAGCCTAATCTAGTAATAACCCCCGGTCGGAAGAACACCCCTACGCGAAAGATTAATCGTTCTCCCATCCGACCGTAACAATATAAGGGTTTACTCATATGGCGGCAGACTGCAACAAACAGACAAAGTGAACACTCTCATTATGTGGCTAAAAGTTACCTAATTTGACTAATGATATTTTGATTGTCATACGTACGTAGCTATAACTCATATATATGATAATAATATAGTGGTCGATAATAAGATCACGAATTAATACACTAATAAAAAAAATCCGAACATTACACATATGTTGGCAAATACATTTACTATTCGGTAAAAAGCCTTTGAATAATCAAAAATTTGCTTTAGGGGTCATATCTTCCGGTATAACCCGTATAACGCCTTCTTGGGCCGTTGATGCTACCAAACGACCATCTCTAGTGAATATACGACCGAATACAAGACCTCGTCCATTAGCACTTTGCGGGGATTCCATTTCACATAGTAACCTATTGCATAGATATACCAATCCATTAATGATGTTTCAATAATACACAGATGAACAAACAAGCTTTCGGAACCGCAAATACCATTCGTCTGCTCTGGTATTTGGATCATGAAACCAAACTGAATGACAAAGGGAGGCCATCATCATTTGGGTAAATGGTGTCAACGCATGAGGACGAGCAACAGTTAAAAGGAAACTATCGTCACTAGCACAGGCGAGTGCACACTACAAGATAAAAAAGATTGAAATCTTAAAGGAAGCTCGTCCCAATACATTCTGCTAACGTAAACATATTCGTACTTTATGCAAGGCAAGGTTATCTCCAAGATTGCCTTTGGCTTTCATCCACATATACTATCATATAATATTTGTGAGTATTTTTAATTGATATGATTGTGATTGTGGTTGCGTTTTTCGCATCATTACTTGCCTGTTTCGTCGTACTTCTCGGATGAGTGAGCTCCTCAAATTCTATTCTATCAGTAGTGCGAGAGTCAACAGGGTTTTTGATCTATTTAAGATGAAGCGCATGCGTGCTGTATAAACAGGCTAATCGGTGCACATATGAAACGCTCACAATATATGTACCTGAGTAGCGAGTATCTTTTCCATATAAGATTTACACCACTTGGGAACTTCGGGTTGATTTGACCAAGACTTTAATCTCTCTACGAATCTGTTATTAGGTTGTTCAGTCATGTATATACGATTTGCTTTGGT